TTCTACAAAACAATTTAACAAACTTTTTACGATCGGTCAAGATTAAAGATGGGTAGCAAAAAAAGAATTCATGAGGTGAAAAGAAAAAGCTTCTATGCCCCACCTAATGCCCCCCCTACCCCAATACGTTACTGAATATGCGCTGTGCCTTCGAGCAAAATTTTTTTCTAATTCAAAAAATTGGAAATCTTGAGTGCAACTTGCCAATTTTCTCTCAAAATGCCAAATTCATTTTTCTTCATTTTCGACTTCATATTTGCATCTGCTGGATGCACCTTGGCACCTCTGGCTATTGCGCTTTAATCCCATTGGCATACAGGGGCGACTATTGATTTGGACGGGATGGTAACAACTGTATCTGGTTCGTCAGAGCGGCTAAAGTGATGCAATGTCAACAAGACACCACACAAATCCCCTCTAGTTATAGTCGGGTCTAGCAGGGCAATACGCTGACGGAACTCTAGGTCGAAAAACAACATTTGACCTAAATGGGAACTTTTCAAGCTTAACAAGATACTTTTCAAGATCATAACATCATACCTGGTTTTATAAGCAATTCTGCAGTTACCCTTTTATTTTTTTTATATAATCAACCTTGTACTAATATATAACCAACTTTTTTGATCTTTCGGCGCGACATTGTGAGCTGAAGTTCCAATTTTTCAATGTAGAATAAATTAAATTTTCTCTAATTTAGCTCGTGCGATGTTTAAAACCAATCGCCTTGAAAATCTGTCTGCTTGCTGTCAATCATTCATTCGAATCCTTTAGTATTCCTGCTCTCGCAGTCTCATCTCAGATAGCATCCTTCACAATTCCTGTTTATCCTTTTGAAGTACCGACAGGTTCCATTCAAATTCCAAGTCCCCTGTCTCATCAGGGAAGTTTCCAATTGTAATTCATTTTGTTGAGAACCCCCATCGAATAATAGGTGAGTGGAATCTTCCATTTAGCTTCAATCTTCATTTTTATTAGGAACAATAACTTTTTTCGCCTAATGATTTTTCACTAAATGAAAATAATTTCATTCAATTTTACGCTTTACAGATTAGACCCAATGGGTGGGGGGGGGGGTCTCTTATGTTAAATCTAAACATTTTGTGCTTGAAACAAACATAAAATCAAGAAAATTTTAAAAGCATCAATTAAGCAGTTTTTGGCGTAATGATAAAACTTTTGGTTACGCATCTTCGCGAATTTTGGTTGCAAAAACGCAAAGATTTGACGAAAACCATATAATGATAAGGTGATATCAGAAACTATTATTAAACTGAAATACTGAATTAAATTTTTCTTAGAGCCACAAGAAATGCAGAACGGTTCAGCCTAGAATATATCATTCTCAGATTCTCAGAACAAAAATTTGCTCCTGATTTCATAGATAATTTCGTACAACTAAGGTCGTTATGGTGTTTTTGGTGAACTAGCAAGAAATCAATGTGGTGGAATAAATTTATCGACCTTTTTATTCGACTACATTGGTTTCCTGGTAGTTCTCTAACATTACCATAGCGACCCTAGTTGGACAAAACTATCTGCGCCGCACGCAAAATATTGAAAAACTGGTCAAATATGCTGGTCCATTTTTGGGCCATTTTTTGGAAGTTTTTGACCAAATTTTTGCATTTTCCGGCCAGCGCTCTCCGTCGCTATTAGAATATACTGGGATGAAAAAGGGGCGTCCGGCTCGCACCCCTTTTATTTTAATTCGCCTCTTTTGACGAGAAAAAAGTTTTTTTTTCGAGTGTATCAGATAAAAAGGTTAGTTTGTTTCAATCTTGAAAAAAAACGTCCTTGAGTTATACGGATTTTTTTATGTTCATATGTGGTGCTTTACGCAGCTGTTCAACGTTTTGTGCTCAAACTTCAGAAGCGTGAAATGTCTTCTCAAAAATACTTATTATTACTTCTTTGTCCAACAACCATAAGTTATTGTTTAATGTAGCAGAAAAACTCAACCAAGATAACACAAACTGATTCAAAAAGCGCAGTTTCAGACCATAAAGCACCTAATTGATCAAACTTTTGGTAAATTTTCTAGTAATTCTTGATAAAAACAATGCATTGGCAGCGCAAGTAAATTTCTAAACACAAAATTTGACTGCTTAGTTTTTGTTTTTTGTTTAGTTGGTTCAAATGGTACCATGCGGATGATGTCGAGGTCCTGACCACAGATAGATTTTGGTAAGAAGAGTTACAATGCAACAAGGATAGCTGGTTGCACTGCATCTAGCACAGAAAATTTGAACTGAAATAATTTTAAAAAAACTTATAAGATTTTTTTACACTTTTTTTGTTGGGAGAATACAAAAGAAACTCTCGAACTTAGTATAGTTCTCCATAGTCAATAATATGAGTAATTAGCGCACTTTCGATAATTATTTTTTCTCGGAAAAAAAAATCAACAATTTTAAAAAGATCAAAAAGATTTCAGAAATACTTCTAAATTTTTTTTGCAGAAAAAAGTTTTCACACTTTTGAAAGCCATATCCTGAAAAAGGTTTGAAAATAAACTTCAGAAACTAGTTTTACTGGGCCTTAAAGAATTTTTACTGCTTTATTTGAATTTTAAGAGGTAGACTATTATAAGCCTAACAAAAGACCTCGTTCAGCTTACTTGCTCGAAACTTGACTGAAATCAGTTTTTGCATAACGACCAAAATAATTTTTATATCTGTCTTTTGATGCTTTAAAATTTTCTCCCTTTTAATTGGTAGGAAGAAAACCAAATTTTTGCTATTTTTTGACTTCTAATCTACTTACGACAATCGGATCATTTTTGGCTTCAAAAGTGGTACCGCTCGAAATTGTTTGACGCGAAAAACGCCCCCGAGACGAAAAAAGAGCTCCGATCAATAAAATAACTCCGATCAATAAAATAACGTCGCGCCTATCTTTTTTTAAAGTCGTGGACCTCATCCCGGGCAGTCTACCTCTACGAGCATTTGACATAACATATTTGGAATTGTGTCCTGTGAATAAACCTGCCAAACCTTAGTTAACAACGGAACTGAGCAAATCAGCTGAGAATATGAAGCCAGTAGATCGAGTCTGGATCCTAGAAGACTTAATTTATGTCCACCGGTATTTGGTCATTTAAACGGACGTTCTTTTCCTGGATATGAAAAAATAGGCAGATCATGTGAGGTACAGACCAGTCAAAAAGCCGTCTGTAGTTTTTTCTTCAAAATTTAGAGCAAGAGTTGTTAATACAAAGAAGATGAAGTTCAATTTAATTGATTGGAAAACTCGTAGAAAAATGATAAAAATCATACAACTTCGGCGATGCTCAATGCTACCTATTTTCAGCTTTCGAGCTTGTTTTCTTCTAAGATTTTTTGTGCGATTCTGCCCGTCTGTATTCATGTCATTTCCGAAAGTTTACTCAAATGTCAGAAAATCAACTAATAACAAATTTTAACTTACAAAGATTTTTTTTGAAAGAATTATCCGAAAACCGCAAACAGTCAGCCGTCTTTATGAATTTATTAGTCTTTGATAAATGTGTCATATTGAATCATTCATGTAATTTTTCTAATGTTTTTGCAATCGCTAGCTCGAAAAGGGGCAGATTTTCCGGCTCTATCAGACGTTGAACGCATTTTGCAAAATCGTGGAATCATCAACTTTTAAGGTTGTTAAAAACTATATTAGTCTAGCTCCAAATTACCGAATAGCTTACCAAGAAAAATTCAAATTTTTGCTGAATCATTTTATTTTATCTCCTTTAACTTCAAAAAATTAGGTTAAAAACCAAATCGAAAATTTGCTGCAAATTGATTCAAGGTATGAAAAACACAAATTTTTCAAAGTTTTAATTGCTTGAATGTCTTGCTTAAGAACAATTTTCAACTGCTTTTGATGTGACTTATGGTGTCAAAATCGCATCACTGGAATGGCTTACCGAGAAAAGTTTTGCGAACCTGTTTAAGCTGAAATACGTTTGAAATATTTCTAAAATTTTTTGCTTGAATTAATTGCCTGACTCGAAATAAATAAAGTTTTGCAAAACGATTCAAAACATGGAATAACTTGTAGTTATTCAAATTTTTATCACTTGAAAAGTTTGCTCAGAACAAGTAACTTTTTACGAGCTGATTGATTACTGGAATTAGGCTAGCTAGTTAGGTATCAAAAGCTTGAACAAATTTCGAATTATTTCTCTGAGATAATCTGACAATTCATGTTTATTGCGTCTTATGAGCTAATTCAGTTTAAGCTCTTCTCGAATTCGGAAGTGATATTATCTAATTCTCAATCGAAAGTTTGGTTCGTTTGCAAAGTTGATCAAAAAACCATGAAATGTTTCTGACTTACAAAAGGTAGCTGGACCACTTGTGAACGAAATCTCCACCCTGAAAATACCAAGTGAACACGTGGTTCCAATTCAGCAGACTGTCACCAATGCCAAAGTCTCAAGAGAAAATTTAATATTTTGATTGTTCGGGCATGAAATTAAATCAAATCGAGTTTGTAGAGATATTGATTTCAAATTTCAAAGGGTAGTTCCCAAATCTTCAAAGGGCCGATTTCAAATTTCAAAGGGTCGTTCCCAAAATGAATGATTTACTAAATAATAACCCTCAAAAATGAGAAACTGAGTTCTTTAATATTTTTAAACCAGATATCAAACTGCGCTTTTCAGATTCTTTTTTTTATTCCGACGAGCGGAAAACTATGTATTTTCCTTTTTCTGTTTTCTCAATTTTATAAAATATTTATAAACTGGTGACTTTGTCAAGAATTTCTAGTCGTAAGAATCAGTTTTCTCCAGGAATCAACTACAAATCTTGTTAATGTTTGGTTATTGGACTTTATTTGGAGTTATGCTATTTCACCCATTTAAGAAAACTGCGAGCCATTTTAGGCAAATTTCAAAAATCCTCATTCAAGACTTCCTCGAACGCATTCTTCCTGTAACTTTGTCTAAATTAAAAGGGTGTAACTCCTTCATTATTCAATAGGTAACCCCTTTAGTTCTGCTTTGTTTTACGACATCTTTTTTCGGGCGTAGAAAGTCGTAGAAAGTCATTCCCAAGCATGTAATAATTCTGAAAGTTTACCCTGTATAAACTATGCATTGCATACAAACCCGCAAAATGTACCAAATAGACTTTGATGTGCTACAAAACAGTGAAATCGACGTTAATTATATTTCGCAGGTGATATAGCATTCTCTACAAAGTTACCTTGTGAAAAATTTGTAAATACCTCCCTTCCCGAAATCGATTTAGGGCGAGATGATTGTTCGGTTTATCAAATAACTTTTATTTTGAAAAAAGTCCGGGGGTTTAAAAATTGCCAATTTGGCAATCAATACCCTTTTATGATCACTGAGAAGATTTTATTTGAGATCCTGAAAGTGTAACGCAAGTTATTAATGGGTGGCGAATGATCCCGTATTTTTTTGTTTGATATTTTTTCAAAACTTTTGGTTTTTTACATTTATTTCTAGCAACAACTATTTGATACTCGTTAAGGGCACTTGCAAACTTGAGGGCATTGCCCTAAAATACAAGTTGCTCTTGAAAATCAAATGAATTATACTTTCAACAACATTTTTTTTAATACATGTGTAACTCACTACGATCAATTTGAATTTGCTCAATGATGTTTTACTGGCGCAAAGAAAAAAAATTTTGAAAAAAACTGTTTTTCATTTTTTTTAGAAATACGCTGTTGAGTTTTTGCCAATTTTTGGTCCACATAAGCAAATAGTTTTTGCGTTTTGTTTTTACACAACAATTGAGTCAAATGAATAATGACATTACCGCCATATTTTAAAAACAGTGGTTTTGAAAAATTTTCAACTAAAACTCGAAATATAACTTTCAGAAACAGTTTTCTCAGGTGAAACATAAATGAAATAATAGCTAGAGTGAATTTGTGCAATTGAAATGACAAGTGCGCGTAATATACAATGCTTTTAAAGCTAAAAAAGATTGTTTCAAAATCATTTTTTCTTTTCACAAGATTTGGTTTTTCTCAATTCAGTCGAAGGCTGTTTTTATGTAAAAAAGGCTGAATTCAAGAAAATTTTCAATCAATGAAAGATCTTCAAACTCTCCAAAAATTTATAATTTTTTAATTTTTTCTTTGTTTTCTGAACACTGAATTTTGTTTCGCTGACTTAATTTTTGGTCATATAATCCTTTTGACAAATCACATTCCCACGAACAAATATTTCACTAATTCACTGTTTGATCAAAAATGAGTTAAAAATTTGTTTGTTTCAAAATTTATTACTTATTTTGGTAGATTAAACTATCTGGGTATCAAATCCTATGATCAGCTCAAAAAAATTTCTGTTTGCTTCATTTTTACACATACAATTACTAAGCTGCAAAAAACACCCATTTGTGGGAGTAAAAGGGGGCGTTCAACAGTGCCGAGGTAGAACAGAGCCGAAACTGAAAATGTGTTCAACAGATTTAAAAATGGATCATACACGGGGATTTTGAGTTCTCACTGTGAGTCGTTGGCAGTTTTGCGTGATACTGTTTTATTTTGGAGCAAAACTGAGAAGAAAGTTTGACAGTTTGCAGAGTTTATTTTTTGTCCAGCAAAACCTATGACGCCGCGCTTAGGGATTTTCTGCTTGCTCAACAAGCGGCATCAATTGAAATGGCAATTAATGTCTTTTAAACTTCCGTCCATTTGAATATAATTACTTGTCAGTCCTTTGGGATGAGTAAAAACAGTATTCCAAATAATTTTCGGAACTGTTTCGAACAAGTTTTTGATTTTTGGCACTATTGTATTTCGGCGTTGTTGAACTGCCCTAAAATAATCAAAAACGCTGATATTCGACGCCATGCAATTTTTAGCTGTAACTTGAGCTGTATTAAAATATAAGCCACCTCTAATGTATACTTTTGTTTGCCGTGAGGCAAATTCATGAATTGATACAAAACGATAAAGTTAACTTTCGAAAAATATTTATTTTGGAATCAAATGATCTAAAAGGTAAGTGACGTTATTTTAACCTATTTAAAGCTAAACTGTTTTTGTCTGTCTTCGCAGAAATAGTCGCGACGATTTGCTTGCGGTTATGATTCAACCGACTAACGTTTGCTGACAAAAGTATGAGAAAAATAACCAATAAACAGGCAGATAAAAAGACCAAAGCATATCAAAATAATGAATGTAGCTTTCCAGACAGTCAGTATCGAATGATCTAGTCAAAACAGTTTGATTTCTCAAATTGTGAACCGATAAGGTTTGCGTGTTTTCAGCCAACAATTTTGCTGTATAAACACACTTTTTCTTCATTTTTTAAATCAATTGAAACAAAATTTGCCTATCTTTATGACATTAAACCTAATATATCACTCTGTTGATATGTCTCGAATGCCATTTTTATTGCTTGCGGGAATTTTAAATAACGGCGTCTGGAAGTTTAAAGAAAATCAGCGAGCCTTAATGGGCCAAAAGAACCAATTATCGGACGATATAAACAGAAGACAGTGTTTGATATTATTCGTGATGATTATTGAAGTATTATTCGAACAAGATCCTTCCACAGTAACTCAACAAAGTCTAAAGAGAGAAAAAACCTGGTTTGTACGCTCATTTTTCTTTCTTTTTTTAAAAAAAAAACAATATGTTTTCGAGCCATACTTGAAAAACTAGTGCAGCATTTGAAAAACTGGTGCAATAATTGAACTCCTAGTGCAATATTCATGAAGGTCGCGAGACTTAAATGGGTGATTGAATAAACTTGACCCCGCCTTCCATCAGGTAATAAGAACCAAACTGCAATAATGCATTATATCAAGTAAAATTTATATTCCCCCTAATTTATAATGCAATTAGAGCAAGTAAAATCATATTCCCACTAACTGCAACAAATTTATACTACATTAGTGCAAGTAAATTTATATTCCCATTAACTGCAACAAAACAAAATTGAATTTTATCTCCGTGGAATCGGTTAAATCTTGCAAAAAAATCATTTTGAAGCTACTGTACCCTTTTATTAACGCAGTCCAAATTAAGCTTAATTTTAGTCACTTATAGAAATCAAGGTTCTTTAGTAAATATCCTTTCTTAGGTAGACTAGTCATTTAGTTTTGTTGCTTCACAACTGTATTTTCCCTAAAATCATCTTATTCCATGTAAGGTAGAATAATCGTTTTGAAAATAATCTTTTTTGCGACTATAATCAAATCTTTGTTTGTGTAGTTCATAAAAAAGCATAATAACCCAAAATTTCGTCAATTGTTAGTCACAGCTTTTCCTTAGCTTTCGTGTTACTATTCCAAATTTTCGGGATCTTTATTAAACGGGCAGTTAATTAAAAAAACGATTCAACGACAAATCATTTAAAGCGGTTATTATTTATTTCGAGTCGCGTCAAGTCGTTATTGCCCATTTTACCATAAATTCGGATATTGAAAAAATCGGCAGTAACAACTAGTGTCGAATTATCAATTGACACGTTCATCGAATTTAAGCCTTGAAAAAAATTGTTAGGTTTATGAAGTTTTTAGGTATAATTTTATGCAATTTTATAACTTCGTCTGACTCAACAAACACAACCCTCGAATGATCCTTGATGTGATTATTTATGCAAAAACAGCTATTATCATGTAATTAAGTTATATAACCCTTACAAATTTTTGTAATATTTTTTTGATCCGACCATGTTTGAGAAAGAACTATGGCTTTCCTAGGGCCGTTTTTGTACACAAAATCAGGTACTGCAAGCAAATGTCGAATTGGATCAATTACATATCATATAAAGATATGAGTTTAATTTGCATTTTTTTGTTATTTGCAAAACCGGCGGTTGCCTTTGTTTTTTTTCGAGACAATTAAAAATGGTTTTTGTATTTTCGAAATACGATTGTCTTAATATGGAAAAATACATGGAGACTGGAAAAATAGCAGCATTGAAATTTTTGGCGTTTAAAGTTTTAAACGTAGAAATTAACTTTTAACCAGGAAAAAAAATTGTTCTAAGGAGCATCTTGCTTTAAACAACTCAAAAAAGCGTTTTTAGTACATGCTCATCTTGCCGCGTAACAAGCGTTCGAGAATCAAGCATGCGTTAGATTTTAATTGCGTCAATTTGAGTAGCGGTTACAATATAATATGACGGCATTGAAAACGGTATGATATGACAGTTTTGGAAATGACAAAAAAGTTCCCGTGCGACTCGAACTACCTTGCTGTTCCGATTTTCGATACGAAAGTAACGAAATATTTGTGCTCGGGTGGGTTTTTTTTTCAGACAAATTTCGACTTTTTAATTAGCCATTTTTGACGGGATTTTTCTTCATCATTCAAAGAACATTGTTGACTTGAGCCTAAATTTAAAACAAGACTGCTCGTATCAGGGCGAATTTTCCGACTGCCTTTTAAGGTTTATGGAGCAGTAAAAACACACAAAAAAAATCGATTTAATAAAATAAAATGAAATTTTTTTTCCAAAATTTGAATTTTTTTGGAAAATTATCACCCCACACGCCATATTAAGTCCAAAAAGATAGATTTTGCTCCTTGTAACAAATCATTTATGGCAAGTCAGCTTCTTTCAACCAAGTTGGAACAATTTCTAAGACGGATTAAATCTCCGCTTACGCATTAATAGCGCGAAATATATCGCGCTTTAATTGTCCCAAATGTGTCAGAATGGCAATCTTTAAACCCCCATAACTTTACGAAAAATGATCACAGGTGAAATATTTTTTCTAAGATTAAGCTCAGGACAACAATACATTTTGAATGATATAAAAAAATTCTGCCAAAAAAGGCTAGTTAAAAAGTCGAAATTTGTCTAAAGAAAAAAACCCACCCCGAGCACAAATATTCGGTTACTTTCGTATCGAAAGTCGGAACAAAAATATTTTACCGGTGATCCATTTTGTAAAGGTATGGGGGTTTAAAGATAGCCATTTTGGTCAATTAGGGACAATTAACGCGCGATATATTTCGCGCTATCAATGCGTAAGCGGAGATTTAATCCGTCTCAGAAATCTTTCCAAATAAGTTGAAGGAAGCTTATTTGACATACTTGATTTCCGACTGCCCCTCAACCAGTATCGAAAATTTTTTGGTAATTTTTTTTTGAAAAACCATAAGTTTTGGACAATATCAATATTGAGTGTGAAAATGTGGTAGGTACGAAAATAATACGATCAATTTGCGTGCCTAATTCAATTTGGGACGATTTGCTGCGCGGGTGGGAAAATTCGCCGCGTATAAGTAATTCGCATTACGCTTTCAACATAATGTAAAAAATCTTGAAAGCGCACATAAATTAGTCCAGAACATGGCCAAATTGGAAATTTTCAAAAACTCAGAGCATAACAAAAAAATCGGAGTTAAAATATCTCTTTTTATTTGAACTCAGGGAGTGAATTGATTGAATAAAAAAACACACCAAGCATATATGATCCGTTTTTTTTCAAAAGTCCGAACAATAATTAGCCTCAGTTCCATTCATCTAATTTTGATTGATTTCTGATGAAGGCTAGCTAGCCGCTGCTGCGCTCAGAAAACGAAATATATAGCGCGTTTAAAATCCACATTTGGTCGAAATCACAATTTTCAAAGCCCTGAATTTATTGAAAGATTTTTCTCTTTATATTTTTAGGCGGTCAAAGCAAAAAATTTTTGTGAAAAGGGCTGAAAATAGTTGATATTTGCTTAAAAAAATTATTGTCTGAGAAAGTACAGTACTGATTTAAATTAACCGGACAAAAATTGCGCCGGCACCAACTGCTGCACCGCCAACTGCATAGTATAACAAATCCCAGCATACCATTTTGAAGTTTCCTTTCTAAATCATACAATTCTGAAAAAAAAATATCGTTTAATTTAATCGAACAATTTTGAATATGATGCTGATATCATATTTTTAAACAATTCCTGTCAAGAATCCAAGAAAGTTTGTGCTATATTTCTCTATTTGGAATTTTTTGTTCCGACTTCTGAAGAAAGGATGAAACATATCTGATCGACATCTTGAAGTTAACAGAAAATTTATCGTTTTGCCTGTCATCGTTTTTGAAAATAGATTCTTATAAATTGCCAATTGGACCAACTGGAAAAAAAACATGCTACTTTGTTACTGATTTATACAGTGCTGATTTAAATTATCCGGACGAAACGAACAAAACTTGAATTTTCAAACGCGTTTTTCTCAAATTGGGTTAAGATTAGACAAAAAGTGAAGAGGACAAAAGTTGCTTGGAATTTTACCAGAATTAATATGGTGCCATTTTTTCTCCGAAATTCTCAACAAAAACTTTACCCCAAAAATGGGTCATTTTGACTTTTTTCAATTAATCAAGAATTACGCTGAAACTATTTTGTTAATTGATGGAGAATATATATCACTAGAAGCTTCCAACACAGCCCAACAAAGTTTTAGAAGGGTTAAATCTCCAAAAACCAGTATAAATGAAAAAATTTTCACTTGATAGTCAATAAATGTGATTTTTACTATATAAAACCCAGAATCTCTGTTTAAAAATAAATTTTAAACAATTTGCGCAAAATTTTGGAGATTTAACCCTTCTAAAACTTTGTTGAGCTGCGTGGGACGCTTCCTGTGATATAACTTTCTCATCAATTAACAAAATAGTTTCAGCGTAATTCTTGATTAATTGAAAAAAGTCAAAATGACCCATTTTTGGGGTAAAATTTTGGTTGAGAATTTCGGAGAAAAAATTGCACCATATCAATTCTGAAGAAGTTCTATGCAACTTTTGTACTCTCCACTTTTTGTCTAATTTTAACCCAATTTGAGAAAAACATGTTTGAAAATTCAAGTTTTGTTCGTTTTTTCCGGATAATTTAAATCAGCACTGTATAAAGCACATCGAGCGAAAAAATTCCGTTACTTTGTTCGAAAGACGGAACAAAAAGACAACGGCCGATTTTTTTTGAGATGTCTTTCAACCGAATTTTTTGCATGAAAAAAATTGCAGCTGAATTCAAGTCTTCTTTTTCCAATAATTTCCAAGAAACAATATGTAAATTATTACACATCATTTCAATTGAAGCCATGGTGATAAAAAATCAAACTGTTCTGATTTAATGCGATAGTTAGTATCAAAAAATTAAAAGCACAATCACATATGCTCGGTAAACAAACTGAAACAAAATGTTGTTAAGAAAACCAGAGCGTAATCGAAACGCTAACTAATTGGCGAAAAACTTGCAAAAACCTCTCGAGCTCGAGTCATAAATAAAAAGTAGATAGACTTCAAGTTACTTTTCAGCCCTCCTATCTTAATCAATTCTCATTTCAGTTATAATTTTTGTTCACTTGAGACCGTTTAAAATCACGCAAAATGGCTTTTAATAACTCTATTTAGCGTACAAAGTGAGAGATTTTATAAAATCTAACCAAAAAAAATAAGTCTCAAATGGTTTAACAAATAATTTACTGACATTTTCTTTTGTTTTCAATTTACTTACCCAAAATTTATACTTTTAAAAAGTAGCTCCAATTTTTGCTTTGCAGGACTTAACATGACGTAAGTCTTCTTAATTTGTGAGTAATGCCGACTTTTTTTCATAGAAACGTATTAGTTGTAAGCGTTTTATTTACAAACCGACAACATCGTTTTTGCTAGAGATCAAACGTTACCAAATAATTCAACAGATCATTTAACACCGTCACATTTAATGATTTATAAAGTTTTTAAATACTTTTTACTTGCGAAACGTTACGACCATTTCTTACGCTGTTATATCCGTTGCTATATTTTTTGGAGGCATTTTTAATGAAAAAAAAATTATTTATGCGATATAAGAAATGAGCTTCAAGAAGTACTAAAATTTAATTTCATGTGTTTCTGATTTTTGTAGACATCGAAAGTTTTCTTTCTCTCGAATGTAACTTTTTGCAAGTCTGTGTCGTTTTTGTTTCAGATGGAGCGTAACGGTCTAGAAGAAAGTGTTCTTGAAGCACCGTTTTCGGTTCTTTTAAACTCCACTACTGGCGATCCCTTTTCGACAACTTCACCCGAAACACCGATCACCGTCTATGATTACCTCGATCTTATTTTGTTCACCTTGCGAGGATTTGTCGCATTCGTCGGCTTTTTTGCCAATTTACTCGTTATTTTTTGTGTTGTTTACTTCCAAAAATTACGACAAATAAACAACTTTTTTGTCGCAAACTTAGCCATCTTAGACGCCCTGATTTTGTTTCTAGTGGGTGTATTTTTCATGCCAAAATCACAACCCAAAATCCTCAAAATTGCCCACGAAAATGATAACTCCAGCTCGTCCGACAAGTTCTGTATTCCGGGAAAAATAGCCAACACGGTTACGTTTACAAGTTTAGTGGCTCTAATTCTGATTTCAGTTGACAGATTTGTGTTTATTATTATGCCGATGCGGTATCAAAAAATCGAAAGAAACTGGATTAAAATAACCGCAATTTCTATGCTTGTTTCTCTGTTTTATTTCGGAATTCAGAGCACATTTTTAATGTGCGAAGGTGGAATTAAAGAGACGGTTTATAACATAATGAACTTGATCGCGTCTGTAGTTTGGTTCGTTACGAGTGCAATTTTGTACTCTTTGATTTTCAAAACGGCATTTCAACAAAACAGAGCCGTCCAGCACAGTATCAAATTGGCACAGCGTGCCAGTTTAAACGGCCACAATTCTATCGGCTTACAGAACAGCAGCAGTAATTCGACTAATGAACAGCGACCTGTTTTGAACAACACCCAAAAACGAATTGTTATCGGCTACTCACTAATAGTCGGGTTCGCACTTATAACATTCCTGGTTATGGACGCGCTAGAGATAACGTATATCATAAACCCAAATATTGGACTGTCGGACCAGAAGAATCTGCTAATCCAACTAGCGAAATTACAGATGACCTTGAACTCGGCCGTGAACCCGTTCATTTACGCGGCAACACAGAAGGTCTACCGGGATGCATTCATTTCGGTGTTGTCGTGTCGAGTAGCGAAAAACGGATGTCGGGCTATTGAATTTGGAAATGCCGAACGGACGGATAGAATCCGAATTGATGTCGCTTAATTTAAATCGTACAAAAACTCATTTTGTTTAAATACCTAAAGTTGCAATCAGCTTGAAAAGACAAACATGTTTAAAATTAGCAATTTGTCATTTTTTCGAGCAAAAATTAAGAGAAATAATGAACTTTCCATAAAATTGATTTTGTCTTTTCGAACTTTTTGCATGCGTTTTAATAAAAGTGCTAAAACTTTGACTAAAATTTTTTTGAATCACTGATTTCAAATTATTGGTGACCAAAGTTGAATTTTGGAATTCTGAAAACCTTCTAAGCCACAGAAGATGTGAAATGGTGGAAAAATTAAAAAGCTGCCAAATTTGCTGACGTTGTGGAATTTTTGGATTTTTCTATAATTTCAGCTAAGATGGCCCGTACGCTACTGAATGACCCAAATTCTTGTTTCTGAAAAATGAGAATGATATAAATCCGGAAGAAAAATTGATTTAACAGAAAAAAATAATCATTTGGTCCGCGAAATTGCATGACTCATAAATCTACCTAAGATTGTAGACATCGAATAAATCACCAGTTCAGCTAACTTGCACAGATGAAACTTTTTTGTTATTTTAAGTTATTTCATCTTTTCCATTTGTAGAAAAGTCCTAAATGTTGCTTCTGTTGTGTTGATTTCAGTAGTTAAATTCTTGCTGTAATTTTTTTTCCTCGAAAAAAATTGAAACCGATGAGGACAGTTTCCTTTTAGCCTACCAAGAGAGAGAAGTTAGGTTTGGAAGGATTATCTATCAATTATTATTATTATTACAATTTATTATTATAATTATTATTATGATTATTATGATTATTATTATTATTATTAGTATTATTATTACAATTTATTATTATTATGATTATTATGATTACAATTTATTATTATTATGATTATTATTACAATTTATTATAATTATTATTATAGTTGATAAGTTGCAGAAAAAATTCAAAACCACTCCTATAAAATTAAATGCGCCTAGTTTAATTTAAGAGAAAAACAGAAAATCACCTGCTCATAGATACGAGTTGCCAATAAATTAGGAAATCTGGAAAATACAAAAAATTGACTAATACTGGCTATAATCTCAGCAGACACATATAGAGCTAGATAAAAATTAACCGGCGTGAAATATTTATAGTAACCCTGGATTTGAAAAAAAAATTCAGTATGATTATAACAGCAAACGTATTTAAAAAATCTTGCTCGTTTTCGTCTTGGTATCGAACGGTCCGAAAACAATCACAACCCTGGTACTGGATTACAAATATGTTAAAGTTAGAAATTTCGTCATGAAAATGCGCTTCAAGAAGCTTAAACGGTGTCAGGACAAAAGATACCATACCAAAAGCTCCCATGACAAAAGATACCATACCAAAAGATCCCTTGTATAAAAATCGCCCATACCATAAAATCCCATGCCAATTAAGAAGATCCCATGAATTATGAACAAAAATCTTGATCAAAGTGTAAGCAGAAATAAATCTAGAGTAATGATATCTCAATTAGGTTCGCGCTATTGAAAAACAATGCAAATTTAAGATAACTAAATTTAAACTGGACTCATTTTTGGGATTAACATAGTGCCAATATGTTTTTAATTTAGTGTTAATATGGCATTGAGTTAAAACAACTTAATTGAAAATGTATACACTCTGCATTCATTATCTCCCTCTTTAACTCATTGATACGTCAAAAATGAATTCTTTTACTTGGGGAACCTCACAAAAAGGCCAAACTCTGATTATTCTTGATGGCCATGAATTTCAAAAGAAACGCGATACGAAGATAACGACACACTGGCGCTGCAGCAAATGGAGATCGTATAACTGCCCGAAAACTTTGATCACTTCTGGGAGCGATATAATCTCACAGAGCAACGAGCATAGTCATGAGCTCAACGCAGGACGCTCAGAAGCTCGGCAACTAGTTCAAAAAATGAAGGAGACAGTTAGGAATCAATTAAATCCAGTAAACAGCCACATAATCGCAGCTAGTTTCCAATTGGTGCAGGACGAAAAAGCAACCCAACTGTCTTTGCCCTCCCGGTCGGCGCTAACACGAACTTTAAACAGAAGTAAACAAACGACATCCCTGCCCACTATTACCACATATGACCGTCATTTCGAAATACCCGATCGTTTTAAGCGATTTTGTCTTTTTGATAGCGGAAAACAAGATACGGAACGCAAACTAATTTTTGGCGACATTGAGAACCTCAATGCACTTAAATTGTACAACAAAACCTGGCTTGTAGACGGTACTTTCAAAATTTGCCCCAGTCAGTTTTACCAGCTGTACACTGTACACATCCAGATTGGCGGGTTTTATCCACCTTGCGTCTACGCTCTGCTAAGCAATAAGCGTTTATCAACCTATAACAAATTCCTAACCGCACTCAAATCGCTTATCGGTGACGTAACCCCGGAAAGAATTTTGATCGACTTTGAAATTGCGGCTCTGAGTGCTTTTACCTCTCATTACGAAACTGACATTAAGGGATGCTATTTTCACCTCTGTCAGAGCTTTATGCGAAAAATATCCGAATTGGGCCTTAAAAAGACGTACGAATCAAACATCGAGCTAGTCTTAGCGCTGAATATGATTCCTGCGCTTAGTTTTGTGCCGGAGTCAAAAGTGGAAATCGGGTTCGACCTAGTCATTGAAGAAATATGCAGTGTGGCAACCAAACTGGATATTTCACAAAACGATCTCGAAAAATTAGACGAGCTCACTGCTTATTTCCAAAAAACGTTCATTAGAGGCAACTGAAGGGTGGCATCTAGGTGTAACCGCTTTGTTTCAAGGCAGCCATCCTTCAATACATACGTTTCTCGAAAAAATTCAACTAGATTCCTACAATCAAAAGTTCAACATTTTGAAGGCATCCAGCGGCACTATCAACTTATCCCGGAAAAAGTACCGTGATCTGAATGAAAAAGTTCAACAGATAACAAGTTCATACACAGACTCTAACTTATTGTCTTATATCCGTTCACTTGCCCATTTAACCTATTAAACTTTGTTTTAGTTTTTGCCTAATTTTTCCTAAATTTAAATTTGTTTGATCAACTTTTTTATAGACGTCTCCTTGCACCCTCCCGGAGAACGCCGAAACGCAATACTACGACTCGCATTCGAAAATGCTGTCTCTAGCAATTTGATCCCAGAGCAGTTGCTCTTATTTGCGGGACGCTAGGTTGGGGGTAGGGGCCTGACGGCCCTTTTAGTATTGCGCCTAGCGAAAAAAAATTGATCAAAATTGAGAATTGATATTTTGTATCAAATAGAATGGCAAGTGATTCGTAATGAAAATGATTTCAAAGCTTTAGAATTTTGCAAAAACTCAATTTCAATTTTGTACCGACTTGAGTTGTCTGGAAAATCAGGCCATTTTTGGCAAAGTTGGTTTTGATTAATTGGAAATCCTTTTCAAGTTCAACTATAGTCTAAGCTGTTTTGAAGTTTGAGTTTCATTTTAAAGGCCAAGTGATTAGCAAGGTCATTTATGTTCGAAATTTGTGCAGCAAAAATTTTGCCGTTTCTTTGATTTTAACCGACGCTTTGTTTTGGCTTTGATCGATTAACCGCTTTATTTTCAATTCTCAGTTTCTTTGTTATTTTATTATGGTATCTTATGTCGTGGGCGATTTTAGAACGAGGTATCTTTTGGAATGGTATCTTATTGACTGGGATCTTCTCGTTTGGGATCTTAAGGTAAGGGATCTTTTGTCATGTAACCGCTTAAACATAAAAACATAAAAGTCAGTTAGAAAAATTAGAAATAGAAACAGAAAGAAATTGAATTAGTACATCAGTTTCCGAACACCAAACTTTGATTGCATTTTACGCGAATAGTGCGAACTTGAAAAAAAAAGTTCGTAATAAAAGTTACTCTAAACTTAGCCAGATTTTGTTGTTTTGTGACAATCGGACCTGAATTAAACCGTGTTGTTTACTTTCTATGAGAGAAACTTGTCAATTTTTGATATATTGCTACAGAGAGAAAACTTTAATTTTTATATTTGAAGCAATTCCAAACTACAGAAATATATTTCGAAAACTGTGCTATTAGCAACAAGTATCAAATAAAGGTGAACTTATTTGTCAATGAGCTAATAATATTTTTAACAAAGATAGCCAGTCGCACAGATTGTTCCGACCAAAACCTTAAAAAACCACATTTAGTTTATTTTAGTTTATTTTGTTTTTGTGAGTGGTGCGATAAAAAGATCTAAACATAAGTCTGGAAACTAGCCATTTTCGATAATCACAGTAAATTAGGCATTTTGTACAACAGTTCTCTTCAAAAAATTACGAACTTGTTACTACGAATGTTACCAATATCCTTCTACAATAAACCAGCTCGCTCGCTTTACTCGTTCGAAAATTTTTTAAAACACGAACTTTTCAAACCAGTTTTCCTCGACAATGCAACAGTTGTTTTAAAAAATAATAACGTCGTTAAAATGACGACTGAAAGGGCTTGCTTATAGAAAATTACTCGACCCAGTACAACAATTACATGAGGCACCAAATTTTGCGTAGAAAACAATAAGAAAAAAAAACAAAAAAACTAAAATACACCCAAGTACAAATTCTCTCGATTTTTAATGGTCGGAACAATAAGAATTTTTTTTTAAATATCGGGGTACAAAGCCTACAGAAAACGTAGTCATCATTTGTTAAACTTCAGTTTGTAATTTTTTTTGGTACGAAATGATCAATTTCTCAGATCAAAATCAATATATTTACACTAATTATGTCCAACTCAACCAGAACAATTTTTGTTATTCTCACCACGCTTTTCATTTACTTGATACCTAGGCACGAGAACTATTTTGATATGAATGATTGTTTAAATACCGAAAAATTTGGTGTTTTAGTAATGAAAGATTAAATAGAACACTTCGTAAAGGCGCAGCCAGCCTATTTGGATTTCTATCTAAATTTTTAGAGTTTCTGTGGTTTTTTCACAATATCCAAAACTTGTGAGTAGAAAGCCATTTACAAAACTTAATTTGCGAGTATGTATCGAGTATGTGTTCAAAAAACAGTACAGTTTTGCAATTTTGGATTAACCTGT